ATTTTCAACAATTATCAACATAAAAGACTGACTTCATTTTTTTAATATTGACGCTAGAATTCCGAGTAGTCGAATTAGTTTTTATTTTTTTTATGGACACAATAAAAGTGCGTGTATTCAGATTTCGATTCATGTTTATTTTAGTTTGCTTATTACTGTATCAATTCATTTAAAAATTTCTAAAAAAAAACACTTGTTTTTTTCAGAAATAATAAAAGAAATAATTGAATTATTTTAACTCATTTAATTACAATGTTAAACATTATGTCAAGAATTCTGTAGTACATAAATTTCATAGAAATGAATATAAACAGATTTGATATATATATTTTTTTAAATACTGTGGAATTTCTAATAATTTATTTACTTATACACTTCAGTAAGCAGTTACGTGCACTGATCTACGGAAGTATTTAAAATCAATATAGTCATATAGATAGTAAATATTTAAAATTGTTCTGTATGATGCTCAGAATACATGTGAGAATAATGTGTATCCATTTCAATGAAATCTAATAACATGTCTGAGATGTCCATTGCTATTACAAATATATCGATTTTAAATACTTTTATAAACCAATATATCTATTTACATATTCAATGTTAATGAAGAACATTATAGCCGCGTAATCCATTCGTTCTGGAAGAAATTCGAATGTCCGGCATTAGAGTAAGTTCCCCTACATCTGCTCCGCAGGACGTACGACCGTTGCTTCAATTATTTAGGGGACACGCGAATCGTCCATTCCGCAAATTAATTTCTTAATTACTCTTTACGCGCGGGCAGCGTTATGTACTACAATGATTCACGTCGCGTGAAGCTCACGGATTGAGTGGCAGAAGCAATCGAGTCAGTACATATTTCATAATACATAGTTTTAACTCATCAGGAAGGTAATATTATTGTTTCGCGCGCTTTGTGATTATTGTTCGTGTGCAGAGACAGGAAATAATTCGTGTAGGTTATAAGCGATGAGCTTACGGAGTGAGAGGCAAGATATTACTGGAGAAAAATGTTTAAATCATCAATGGATATTCGTTCTTTGTTTTTTAATTCAAGAAGACGTTATTTTTTCAAAAGAATCAGACGATATATTGATCACAGAAGGAGTTTCGCTGAATTTTGTAACTCGATACGAGGCACGCGATTTCGGTGCGAACTCAATACGAATGATCGAATATCTCTGCGAATTGCGAGCCGAGCATATTTCATTTCGACGTATGCAGTATTGATTCATGGTATCATTTCCTGTCGCGTGATGATTTTTCTTCAGTACACTTTTTCTTTCGATGTTAATCCAGAATTAAATTATTACATCTTTTAAATTAAAATTAAAAATTCTTCAAATACGTTAAGCGCAAATGTTTATAGTTGAAAACTGAGACTATAATAAATATTACACCGTACAATATTTCAATTCAATCAATTATGTCTAGTAATTATGATGCATTTCCCATACCACTGTAAGTGAAAATTTACTTTGAAAATAACAAATTGGTAATAAACTAATTTTTTGCTTTGATCAATGTAGAATGAACAATTCATGACTTCTTTTTTTTCAGTTATTGGAAAGATAACGGATGCTTCTCTGAGAAATTACTAGAGAAATTGATTTAGTAATACAGAAACTACAGTGCAAATCAATTGAAGTCTCAATAGTTGCACCGTTTAGTTTCTACAGAGAAATCTCAAAAAGGCAGTTTGACTGCTTGGTAGTTCTAGTGTTAAATTAATCTAGAAATCTCCATCACGAGCCTCATTCGTCATTGTATGGCGAGGAGCTAATAAGAATGGAAATGTAAAATGTTACAATAAGGTACAGAAAAGAAAATCATCAAATGTCTTATAGAAAGGAGTCGTATTACGACAAGATCGTTTCGAGAAACGAATAGAAATCGCATCTCCGTGAGGCTGGCTGATAACCGGTGGGTCGGTGACGTGACGCATACGTAACGCCGACCGTTAACGCGGTAATATTAGTCCTACTATTCTTGTGCGTACCCTTTTTAAAGATACCGCCGCGTCACGTTAAAAAAAGAAAAGAAGACAGGAAGGGAAAAAAATAGAAAGAAAAAGTGAATCATCGAAGGAAAGTGGTCGTTTATTCGCAACGTACCGGTATGGAATATTCCGCACGCACAACGTTTCCTCGTTTGAAAATCCTGCGGGTCATTAAGGCGAGGCGAGGAGAAAACGAGCTGACCCGGAAGATGCTGGCGCATCAAAGCAGACGGAAGTGGCCGGGGCATATAATTCGCAAGAAAGCACCAAGTCGAACTGCACCGTAAAAGTGACTAGTGCCATTACAGGTGCACCGGTATCGACTGCCGGCCGAGGCAAAAGTAACACGCCGCGTGTTTTCTACATTTTCGCTCGGGCCGTAATGACGCCAAGTGCGCCGACCGGGAAAGCAATTTCCCCAAGTCGCGAAAATAAAGGCGAAACCGACATGCCTCTAACCTGACACGAGACGGCAATTTTTGCTGTTTATGAATTTGTCGAATCTTTCTTAAATCGTGCGATTTTGATCGCCTTGATGAGTTTTAACACTAGAACTACCGACCAGTAAAATTGATTATTCTGTGTTTTCTTATAAAACTTATAAAAATACATTTATTGAGTTTTCAATTCCCTTATATTCTAGGTTCTATTTATCTAAATCAATTTCTTGAATAATTTCTGAGAAAATCGTCTGTGCCTTTCCCATAATTGCGAAAGAAGAGACTCGAAATGGGTCATAGTTGACCTATCTGGTAGTTCTAGTATTAAATTTGAATAAAAAAGTCAGAATTTAAACAATAAATCGGGGATTGGATAAAAATTTATAAAGCAATTTGTTTTTTATTTGAATTACCGAATACTGGAAATAATTAAGTTCTCGAAATTGACGGTTACTTAGGAAATGTATAGGTAAAATTTGACGGATTTTATGAAATGCCTTTTATCACAGTGAACTTGGTTTTTACCCTACTTCAATGTCCTTTCAATGATAGATATTTTCAACGATATATTCATTACTATTTAAATTACAGGAATTTATACTATTTACATATTTTTCGTTTCGAAGGAAATTTCTTACAACTGAAAAAAATTCACATGTCATTCTACGGAAAACAAATCGGGGTGGCAACCCCTTCCGCTAGTTCTTTTAGAAGCTGTGCGGCAACGCACCATAAATCACTTGAAAATCCCTAGAGGGCATTAAACTGAAAAAATCTGTTGCATTATTAATGATCCTTTAGAAAGTGTATTGTAACAGCCATTTACACGGCCCACCCTGTATAGACTGAAAGCATCTATTAAGTCATCATGTTTAACACATGCAGTTAATTATTCACTAATTATTACAAGGCAACCCGTATGTTATAAAGATTTCAATTAGCCAGTTCTCTATCGGCTTTAAAAGTCGTAGCTAGAATTTTCCCGGTTCTTCTTTGTGTAAAGGAACTTTACTAATTCCACGCATAAATTCCACTTCCGAGCGCCGCCGCGGCACACTTTCCGCATAAAGTTCCCTATCTGTGCGCGCGTTACAAAATACGCCCACGATTCGATAATATGCAAAAGAGTAGTGTTGCAATGATAATGTTCACCTTATTGTTACTTATTGGTTATAATTTAACAGTGTCAAAATAAATCTCGACGAATTACATGACATGTATTTTGCATACATATACATATACACGTTTGGCGAGTATGAATATTCAACGACCCAATTTCAATCATTACAAGAAATACGTCGAGATTTATTGGACCACCAACGAGTTCTCTTTATCGCAAGAGAAAAGGGAGCAATAAAATACTCATTCGATAACTACGGTGATAGAAGGCAATCGAAGAGACATATAAATGTATAATCATTTATTATTGACAATCAAAATTCGATAAAAAGAACGTTATAAATCATTCTTGCCTCTAAAATCAATCATTATCGATAAACAAATAATTCGGTGGTTAGTTCAAACGGTTCGACAAATAGGTTATGTGTGCCAAATTCTGCGGATGCTTTTCCGGGATTCCATGGAAATCCTCGCGACCTCGGTTAACTTGGAAACGGGTCCAAAAGGAGAGCCGATATATTTCTGCGAGACGGCGCTGCCCGCGAGAGTTACGATCCCTGTTAAATTACGAAAGGCTCGCGCAATAACATTCTTCGTCGATAATTACGTCGGCGTATTACAGTTCGCAGTTACAAAAGATCCATTATCTGCATCTGCGTGAAAGAATAATTGCGCGATACGCTGCTCGTTTTCAAACCAAAGTCATTTCGCTCCTGTGACTCTCGGTCTCATTGTGTCTTCATTATCCTACTAATTAATCTGAATCTACAAATCCTTCGCGTGATGCGTAACGTTTCGTTGTAAGACGAGCACGTAACGCCTTGCGAAAATACAAGCATTGATCAGTCGGTCAGTCGGATGGCCGATTGGCCAAGAAACGCGTTAAACGTTTCACGGCTAACAATCTCGAGGCACTCAAACGCGGGGCAATTAAAAATTCCTCGTGATCACCCTATTTTCCCGTTGGCTAGCGCGCTCGAAACGCAACACCAAATGGTGTGTCCGCACTCATTCGCCAGGACTGAAAATCGTCGATTCGGCTACGCGTGTATTAACCTCATCGATACATGGAAACTGAGAGAGATGCAGGTCAGAGCCACCGTAGAAATTGCGTGCCCTATCGCACGGACAGTTGGGACAGGGTAAGATCAGTGATTCTGCAGGGTATATTACGTATGTAGGTGCATATATATATATATATATAGACGTATATGTATATCACGGTTGAAGATATATTGCACGCGAGACAGATATCCGTGGAGTAATTGTGAAACGCCCACGCACTGGAACACGCGCTCGACCACCGATCGGATCCTCGGTAAGGTTATACCAGTGACGAGGGTGCAAAGTGGGCAAGGGAAATGCTTGATGAATGAAGTTTCCCTCGAGAAGAGAATCTTAGGGGGGCATCTGAAGATATACGAGGGGAAAGAAATTACCTCCTCGAGGGATGTGATGGTCTGTCTGCATTGTGGCATTCGCGAGACGAAGGTGGACGTGGTAGGCGAGTTGTAATCCTCCCTCGTCTCTTCGACGAACTCGCTGACGGCGATTAGGCCCGGCATTTTTTCCCTCTTCCTGCCTATATTAGCCGAAATCGGTATGTCAGGAACACCGCGGATTGTTCACCGGTCTGGGCACTCAGTGCCGTCACACTCACTTCACTGTGACACCACTCACTTCACCGTTTCTCCCGTGCGCACCATAAATTCCGCGGGAGGACTGTCACCTTCTGTCTCCTCCCAATGCCGTTTCCCGTGACGCACGGTAAACGTCGTCCCGGTGCGACCAACGGACCCAGAGAGGAGTGGCGGGACGCAGGAAGGGGACACAAAGGCGAGAAGGAGAGGGAAGGGGGTTGCAAGGTGTGAAAGAGAGAGGATAAGAAGGAAACCTCGAGCCACACGGCCTGTCTTCTCTGCCAGCGAGAGACACTTGCGCGACACGATTATTTCCTTAACATTTTCGCCGCTCGGGGTTTCCCGCAGTGGCCGCGAGGAAACATATCTGGCACCTTTTCGCTCTTTGCGCGGCTCACGATGCATACACACTTTTACGCGCGTACGCGGCTGCGTCCCAGGACGAAACTTCTTTGCGCCTCTCGCCACTCAATCTAAAATCAGCCTGATCGGTGCCGAAACGTTTACGTCCACGGTCAAAGTTTTACTGAGGCGGCGCTGTATACGCCCATACCTTCACCATTGAGTTTACGGTTAAAGAGAAAGTCGTGTGAACTGTGGGAAGCGGATGTATCGCCATCTTACGGGAATTTACGGGTTACCTGTGACATTATCGTGGATTCCAAATTATTTTTATTTATTAATGTGAAAATGTCAAATGGAGCGTATTTAAGTACAATATGATGTAATCAATTTGTATGGAGTTTAATAAATATGGATACATTTGGACATGTATATTCTTAGTTTTAAAAATACCATTTAACCACTCATAAATTCTATTTTATAATTATTTTTGTGTACATTAGAGATTCTAAATATTCTATTCCTATACCAAACAAATAGGTATAAATAAAGCCAATCATGTATGAATTTTTCTTTTTTATTATGTAAACAAAGAAATTATAGAACAAGAGTCTCCTGCATTTTAAGTTGTTTTTTGCTTTTCGCTTTGACTTGTGCTGCAATGCGATCTAGATCCCTGCGACCTTGGCTAGTGAGTTTACGTCCACCAAGTGGAGCCTTCTCAATCAGCTTCAGTTGTTCTAAACTCTGAAGGGCTTTACGGGCTACACCGCCTGCAGATTTGCAGAAGTGGCTAGGGTGGGTACCGTTACGTTTGCGACCTCCAAAGATTTTAGTGACTGCTCTGGAACCAATTGGACTGCGGATGTAAATGTGACGTACTAATGCAGCGCATCTAATATAGTACCAATCTGGATCATATGGAGCCAGTTCCTTGAAACGAGCAGATTTTACAATGTCTACCCATTCTGGAACACGCATTTTGCCCGTCCTAAAATCCACGATGAAATAATAAATAACTTTTGTTACAATTGAAAACCAGAAGATTATTGATACTGAATATAGGCTTCCGGCTATGTCAACAGCAGATTTTTTTGAGGTTAAGTACAATAATTGAAAATTATTACTTACTTTTTCAAGAACGCGGCAAAAGCCTTAACGAACTTGTGTTGGTCGACGTCTTTGAGCGTTACGGAAGGCATCTGAAACAAGTATTCAAAATATAATTAATAAACACAAATGCTGTGTCTACGTGCCACACGTGTATTCCCGTAATAAGTATTTGGATATTCTGCCAAAGTGTGTTACGGATGTTATATGAAATGAGAACAAAGCATAGAACGCAATTTACTGTTTTGTACTACAGGCTATGTTACCTTTTTTATGCTAACAGAGTTAAGTTAGTTTACAGAAAACTGACAAAAGTACACACCTTCGCTCGAAAGCTAACCGGAAAGAGAACAGTCAAGATGGAGTAAAAAGTACAAATATAATAAGATGGCTGACTGGGAGGAAACGGTCATAAAGTTTGTATTCATGGAAAGGTATCTTAATGTTGTAATGGTTGCCTATTGGTGAATGCCTTTTATATTAAATAATCATAGTACTCAAAACGAATAGAATTAGAAGCCAAAGCATTCATATGATTATTACATACTTTACTAAGATATAACTAAAATATAACTTTATATAAATTTAAAAGTTAATTTAAACAGATTATCTCTTTCCGTATTTCATATAGATGGGCTATTACGTTTACAAGATATAACCAATCTACAATATCTAACGCGTAATACATTGTATTACGTATATCTTAAATGATAAGATATATGACATTTGCTTATATTGGTATGGTGCAATCAAAAGAGTGATCATTATCGTCGTGTCACTTGACTTAAATAACCAACAGTGTTACGGGTTGCAATCTGTCAGTACGCATTCACACTTTATAAAGCGTGCAAAGCACGTACGTATTATGAGTGTTAGTTTGTTTAAACATTTGTGCAAACTAAATATAAGAACATCGTTTAAATCCCACTCACTTATTCGGTGGAATTGTAAAATGGTTGCTGCATTAACGGAGGCGATTCCATTTTCAAAAGATTTTCTTTTTCGACAAGTAAGTCGGCATGCGCAAATGACATTCGCACGTCCATACCGATCGTATAGTTCGTAGTCGCACTTAGTGTGACATCTAACGGCAACTACTTACAATAACGAATTAGAATAATCAATATTTATCGTTCGATTCTTAATAACATTACAACACACATAGAAGATTTTAAATGGGTTATTTGTTTTCAAATAACTTTCTAACAATGTTACTTTTTTTAAAAAGAGGTATTAAGACATATATTTAAGTTCCGTTAACTTGTCAATAATTTAGTACTTGAAAAATTGTTTTTAATAAATTGAAACATGCATTGTACGGTTTTCAATATAAATACTTGTGAAACGCGGGAAATACGAATTATCGTTTACGAGTCTTAATAGGAAGGAAAATATTTCTGTTTCTATAAAATAAAAATTAATCGATCCATGGAATAATTACTTGCCAAAATTAAATGAAAATTAAGTACTTCTTGAAATTATATTACAACTTCATGTAGACGAAAAGTATGATAATAGCGATAATTATATTTAGAAGAGAATTTGCAAATTGCTTCAAGTTCGATAAACGACGAAGATGGTTACGCTTAATTACGCTAAAATTTCGTAATACCCCGTGAAGTTTCTAACAGTTACGAAAGTCTTCGTATAATTTTATAATTATGTTAATGATATTCCGTTTGGTTGTAATAAATGTAAACTATAAGGCTTAAGAACATTATTAATTGAAAAGTACAGTTCAAACATGCATTATCAGTAATGTTATCACTGATCGAATTTTTATTTCTCATTGCTCATATATTCCTAATCGAAACTTTGTTCATATATTCTTGATTAAAATTCTCAGCTATTCGACCCTGTGTCCAGCACTTACACTTATCTCCTGGCTGACATCAACGATAAGACGGCGATCTTAATTGATCCAGTCATTGAATGGGCAAACCGTGATAAAAATATTATTTGCGAACTAGGATTATGTTTGAAATATGCTGGTAAGTTGCAATTTATCGAAGCACAAATTTTTTTGTGTTCACTATGATACAATAAAAATTATGGCTAGATATAAATTTCAAAAATTATATTCATCGTATAAGTACCATCTACGATAGAAAATTACTTTAAAATAGAATTATATTTATTATTAATAATTATATCTGTTGGACGTTAACGATATTAGGATCAAAGAACTAATTTCAATATTGCTTAGTTAATTAATGTCACCGCTATAATACGGTGCGGTATCATGTTAAGTTATTTTCGTTAGTCAGATAATTACGCCAGCTTTTGAATAATCATTTCGATAATTGTGCAGTACATGAACTTGAGTTGTATCGATTGCATTTATTAAATGAAATTGTCACGTTAAATTTGAATTGAGAGCATACTTCTATCAAATTTCGATTTGCTTTACTGGTTATTTAGTTAATTTTGTATAAGAACGAGTATTATATTATGCGTTATCCGACCAACGTATTTATATGTTTTAATGCATAAATAAACTGACTAATTTTGCCAATTTGATAATGTGATTAAGAGATCGTAACATCGAAACAAAAATCATGGCGATTTAATGGGCCGAATCGATACATGACTGGGTCAAAAATATTCTCGTCGGTTCAAACTTCTTAACTCGAGTAGGATGTCTATTGTACGGTTATGCAGCAATTAATGATTCGATACTCCTGTAAAGTACAAGTATTGTTAAGCGGGCGGAATGGTTAATTGTTGAAATTGGCACTTGAAGTCTTCCGCATGAATCAAGACACGAAAAGGATCTCCCGGAACCATTCAATTACGTTCAGTTGAATTTATTAGAACAGATCAAAGTGATATTGCAGTCATACACTCGTGCAGGATGATCAAAAATAAAAGTGTCGAACAATTATCGTAATGTATTAACAAAAAATCGTGCACTCGATAAGGCATTCACAAATTAACTCCGAGTGGGTGCAGACAATTTTTTGAGATGAAGTGTAAAGTTGCGTTTACCCATCTTCATTTTAAAATATGTATCCGTTCCGCTTCATGAAAACTGGTATCACGTTCGTTCAAATATTTATTTCGGTAATAACAAACAAATCTTGTCTTCTCAATTTGAAAATTTCATTCGTGTACAAGTGGAATATTTAATATTCAACAAACTAGTTCACTGAAAATGGTGTCCGAGTTGCATATATCTTCGGAATTTCAAATATCACGCGGAGGGACGAAAAAAATTTATCTCTAAGCGACAAAATAAAAAAGAAAACTGTGTTGCATCCATTAGCGTAACTTAATATTGTGCTTCTCGTCCAAATGATGTTAACATCAAAGATAGATATTCTGAATATCGAAGACTGAAATAAGAATCTGAAATAAACTTTATCTCGATTGATCTGCGTTATAACTGAAGCACTGATATATATAAATCAAGTATACTTTTATATACTCCTTTTACTCCAAAATTACTTGATTCCCTTTTAAATACGTCTGTCAGCATATCAAAAATGTACCTCGTAACAAAGTTGAACCGAAATTTCCATGAAGTTCGCGTCTCTGGTTATCCCTTTCCAGTTTTTCATTCTAATATCCAATTCTTTTACGTTTCATAACCGAGCACTCTAAAGAAAAATGTGATCGCTGAAGCGGCATTATTTTCATTCAGAAATTTCGCGCATTTCAAACATTCCATCTTTGTTCGAACCACTGGGTATAATAGAAAAGCAAGTCGCTGGGAAGTTCAGCTGAAATTGCCGTGAAGTTCGCGTCCTCCTTATCTCCCTCCCGCGCGGGCTTCCACTGTAGCGACTTTTCAAAGTAAAAAGTAATTACTAAGATGGTGTTTCCCCGGTCGTTCGCGTTTCTAACCGTTGCAACTAATGAAGACATTTAGGAATATCTGACGACGAGTGCATCCCGATCTTTCAAAAATGTTCATTTACGAATGAATTTCTTGAACGGAAGCCGGATGTGTGGACTTCGATCGCCATGTTGGCCGATAGATAACGTGGAATCGCTTTTTCCAGTAAACACGCATATGCACGCTGATCATATCACCGGAACAGGAAAGTTAAAATCATTGTTACCTGGATGCCAATCAATGATATCGCGTACCAGCGGCGCCCAGGCCGATATACTTCTCAATCCGGATGACCAGATCAAATTCGGTAGACACTGCTTGCGAATCTTGCCTACGCCTGGTCACACTACAGGTCAGAACCCTTGTTTTTTAATCGTTTCATTAAAAAATACATTTTTCTCACAAAATTAACACTATGTTTACTGGAGATTATTTAGTGATCTTTTAACATTAGGTTTACGGGCATTTATTGTACATTTTAAAAGTAGACGACTAGAATGCATATTCGTGCAATTGTATCAATCGAAATTGTAGTGAACGTTTACCAAATAATGTTTATAAAATTCTAGTAAACCTAGTGTTAAAGATAAATGATTAACAGCTGAGGATTTTTTAATGAAGTTCTCAATGACCATAGCAATTATAATTGTGAATCGTTAAATCATCTCGTTTAACATAATACAATGATTTTTCTTAAGGCTATTACGCACAAGGAAATTCATGAAACTTATTTTCGATCTAGTACATTTATTGAGAAGCCTATTATTAGGGTTTTGGTTGATAAAATGTTAAAGTATTGGATCATTTCATAAATAGTGTAATCTTTGTATACTTCTTTAATTTTTAAAAATGAAAATAAACGAAATTTGTTTTAACTTAAATATATTCTCCTTTATTATTTATAAATGCAGTCGAGATATTATCTATTGTCATATTTAAATTGGAATTAAAAATGAAAGTGGAAATTATGGTTTTAAGTGGAATTATGGTCTTGAGGAGCTATAACACGTTCGCTGTTAGTTTAACACGTATATGTAACATTTCGATTTGTCGTGACAGAACACGGTCACGTATACGTGGTAATTATAGTCTTACAGTTTACGTGCCACTTGAAACCCATATACTTTAGTAGTTAGAAGTAAAAGGAATGTTGCAAATGTGCTTATTTCATATTAATACTTTTATTGTGTATTATGCAACATATCTATGTTTATCAGGAGGTAATCGAACAAAGTCTATTAAATTACTTAATATAATATATTAAAAACATATATAGTTAAATTGATTTTATAATCATTATAAGAAGAGTCAAAAAGCCGATTGAGGGAAAATGATTGAACTTAGAAAATAATTTTAAGTTAAAATTTAAAGGTTAAAGAAGCAAAAATGATATTAACTTCTCGATTAATAACCTTAATTTCTATAGACTTTGTTCTACAAACAGGAAATTCCTCTTAATCTAAATTTTCATGGAAGTTAAGAATTTAGTTAGGATATTGCTTATCTCTGGACACCTTTCAATATTTAATTAAAAAAGTGAATAATTGAAATGCCAGAGAATATTGCGAATTTATTCGAAATCAACGATGAACTATTTTCAAGCAAAATGGCGGTGGAGAGTAAATTATTTTTCTGATTCATCTAAAATTCATCAAACCGTTAAATCAGCTTAAATCTAGTCGAAATGAGTCGCATTGGACTGGACTTCCCTGTTTATCAGGTGAGGGGATATTAACATCGAGCTGGTCACGTAAAAGTACGTGTTTCGGAGGTCGTTCGTTGACTGCCGGTCACGTAGAAACTGAAATGACAAACGACGTGATCATATTGAATGTTTCGTCGTTTGAACATTCGTTTGAGAAACCGTGGAAATTAAAATGACTGAAGAACGACGCAATATTAAAAGTACCATTCAACGACAAAATTTCAATATTTATTATCTTCCCAATTCATATTATATTCCAGAGTTGAAACTTCCTTTAACAATTTCCTCCGTAATATAAAATGTTTCTATTGAAATGATTTTCGCAGTCTAGAAAAAAGTAAAAGAAAATTCCGTTGAACTTTTGCAATTAATTAACTCTCCTATTTTCGCAGGCTGCGTAACTTACGTTTGCGACGAGCAAGGAATCGCTTTTACAGGAGACACCCTTTTAATTCGTGGATGCGGGAGAACCGACTTCCAGGTTTGTACACGGACGACTAAGTATCCTAAAATACGAAATACATTTTTTTGCACGTTCGGACATTCCAATTTAACGCGTACACTGGTTGAAACGGCTCGTACCTTTTCACCAGTTAGAACAAAAAACAGCAAACTACTCCAATGATGCAAAGAGATCCACTTTCACTTCAACGTTTTTCGTAGAAATCTCCACGAAAAACTATAAATATACTAATTAACCGTGAAATATCTTTACTTGATATTCAATTTCGAAGCGTTTTATCGATTTTGTCAATTGTCGCACCTCTAACCTTCATTTTCTCGAAATGGTAAAAGTCGTCGATTTGCATGAAAAAACTGCAGAGTTTTATCTAAAAAAAAAGAAGTCTATATTGCAAAAGTAAGAGTTAATAGGTAAAAGTTCATACTGCACTCGTGTAAAAGACTTTTTTATACGTTCTTTTTTCTTCTGTGACGAGAGATTTCGTTAAACCATTCGACGTTCTTTCTCTGGCAGTTTTTTGTTCAATTGCGAAAAACGACGATTTTTTTTGCATGCGCGTGGGCCACCCTGGGTAGTTTAAAATACTTCTCCGCGCTCGTGTACCTACTCGAAACTTATAAATGTTAATGCATATAACATATACCGTGTCCGATTGACGTAATCAGCTGCGCGTCGAAACCCTCTGAAACACCCCGTTCCGCGCAGTTATTAATTTATTAACCTGCGATAGCGTCGAGCGTTCAATCTTCAAATCCGACGATAAGATTTTCCAGGGAAGCGCTGACGTAAAATTGTGTTGGCTCGATATTGCTCGCGGTTATTTGAACGGTGCCGGTGCGCATCACTTATTTAGCCGTTGCGGCTTTTAAAAGTGGCATCGATATAATGATTCTGAATACTTTTTTAGTTTGAAATTTTTATTATTTCGCCGCTCGGCTGATAACGTGGGGTCGGGTTACACGCGTTGTTCGAAAATATTCGATTAAATACATTTATAAGCCGGTGCCGTAGCAGACCGTTTCCGTCGTAGTTAATGAAAGTTTAATTTTTCGTTGAAACTGCGGGATTCCTGCGAAACGAATTACGGAGAAACGAATTTTTGTTAAAAATGAATGTCGGAGTAAATTAATGTTAACCTTCTACAGACCCGTATGACTTTGAGGTCACATTGCTTTCTTGTTGATTTATCTCATTTTGCATGGCAAAGTGGCGAAAATGAAGTAATTAATTAACGTGAACTTTTAAACGTTCAAGCATGAAAGTTCAACTTCATTGTAATTTCAACATTACAAGATATATTGTAATTTATAATTAATCTAATGTATTTGTGTAATTAATATAATTATTAAAACTATTGAATATATCGTTAGTTTGTATTTACAAGTTGATATTTTATACTGCAATCATTCCATACTACATACATGTTTTTATAATCACGAAAAAAAATTCGGCCTATAGAGGGTTAATTTAAGATTCATTTATGACGCAATGTCCGTTTTGAGGAAAATATGAAATAATAATATATTTCATTTGTAATGGTTGATATTCATTTTTTAACAGATTTTTACTTTTTCCAAGGTCTGCAGGAAATTGAATAATATAGTAACAAATATAAAATTACACATCATGTTTACAGAGAAAATGTGAATTCACATTTTCACAGAGTATTTCACAGAAATACAAATCAATGAGAAATTCATTACATTAATAGGCTATATTTATCTAGTAGAAAGTAAATAAAGATTTGATAAATCTTACCATTTGACAGAATATTACACGCATTCACAGTTTGTTATCAATGTAAGCCTGAAAATTCATTTGTTGTCAGCTTGCTATTTATTTGTGCTTTTAAATGCTATTTTTAAAATGATTCAACGTTGTATGTTTTCGTTTGATAACCGTGTTTTATAATTAAAAATTGCAGGGTGGCTCAGCAGAGACTTTGTACAATTCCGTGCACACGAAAATTTTTACGTTGCCTGAGAATTATAGGCTGTACCCGGCCCACGATTACAATGGCAGAACGGTGACCACGGTACTCGAGGAGAAGACCTTTAATCCGAGATTAACTAAAGCTCTGAATGAATTTGTTGACATAATGAACAACCTTAATCTCCCCTACCCGAAGATGATAGGTATGCTAATTTCCTTGAAGGTCTGATAATATTATCGCGCGAACTCCGATAAACCGCCGAAATCGTTTTTCACGTATCTCTATTAATAGATTGCGGATTTTTATGTATTTATGAGAAAATTGAAAGTGCAAAATTCTATAGAATTGGTATATCATATGTATATCTGGTTTTGATCTATAAATGCAATTATCTTGAGAACCGCCTAAAACAACTGTAACTATAATTCTTTTTGTAAATTTTATGTTTGACATCATACGTGATAAGATTTTATTAAAAACTGTGTTTTACAAAAGCAAGAGGGGTATTTATTAAATTGTAAATATCTCCAATTCAAGGCTTATTAAATAAGAAAAGTAAGAAGTAAATAAAATAAGTGGCTATTTGTTGCTAAGGGAAAAGTGGTAGATTTTTCTATTCGATTGGCTTAGTGTTAAAAAAAATGTCTCAAGCGCAATTGCTTTTCTTTTGACATGGCAGTAATTTAGCATACTTTGTCTGTCACTAGGTGCAGCAGATATGAAGGTTCTCTATTATGTTGTCATGTATAGTCGTGTATTTTTTTCTGCATCAATCGATGCAGTGGGACATTCTCTACAAAAAAGTGTTAACTTGTCTACGTCGGAAACCCGTCGACACAGAATACATTACATTTGAGACGATTTTTAAATAACGAATAGTTCCAGAGATAATTGCATTTATAGATTAAAGTGGTACACTTTTTTTAATTACCTGTTTGTAATTTATTAATTAGTTGTTAACTACTTATTCTTAATTTAATTAACTACTTATTTCTCCAATTACATTTCCAAAAATGTGAAGTACCATAAATATCCGAATTGAATTAAGTGGTTATTTTTGTAACTGCTTATTTCTTCAATTATATTTCTAAATATTTGAATTTCCACGAATATCCGCTTTCAATTAACTACTTATCATTAATTGCTTATTTTTCCAATTGCATTTCTAAATATTTGAATTTCCATAAATATCCACGTTTAATTAAGTACTTTTCAGTAACTACTTATTTCTTTAATTACATTTAAACAAATTTTAATTTCCATGAATATCCGTGATCTATTTATCAAAATACGAAATGCTTTGACTTAAACGAGAATCGTTTACACATTTGCAGATAAAGCAGTGCCGGCCAATAAAGTTTGCGGATTGTACGAGGTGGAGAAGAAACAGGAACTGTAATATCTTTACGCTGATCGACAACGACGTGTTAACCGATTTTTCGAAGTTGTACAAACGTAACATAATAAAATGACTCGATCCGTTCACGGATAAAAATAATACGGCTCACCGCCATTTTGCCCATGAGACGCATAACAGGGCGCAAAATACTGCACACTGTTACCATAATTAACACCCTCATCCTCTTTAATCTTTAAACGTCGCATTAACCGTACCGTACGTACTATTTCCGGAACCGAAATCTGACGTTACAGAATCCATTAGCGTAATCCGTTCATTCCCCCTAAATATTTGTCCCGCTTTCTAAATAACCCGCCTCGGAAACGTAAAAAGTTAATTAAAATTTTACCCCGAACAGTCTGTGCGCGGACCACGCGGGATTATTCAGGTTCCGCTAACAACTGCATTTATTCCTCTGACAATAAACATCGTTTTCGCATAGGGTTGCGTTATCTGCCGCGTGTTCGGCCCGAACATTGCTTGCAAATGTCTCACGATTATGCGTGAAAAAAACGCGGAAGGATTATTTTCGCTAAACTATGTAGTATTTTGCTTTGTTCAGTTTTGCTAGAGGAATCTAACATAGCAGATATGTAATGTATTGTTATTCATTATTTTTTACGAAAATTCGAACTTCGATTTTTTGATAAATGCGAAGAAATTATTTTTGGTAAACTATTTTATGTATATTGTTCAGCTGCAAGAAAAGGATACAATAGGTTAGGCGTGAAATGCATTATAGTTCAGTATTTTCCAGAAAAATTCTAATTGCAATGTCTCAAAAACCAGGAATAAATTGTTTAATCTGAACTATTATTTTATATTTTTAACCCTCGAAAGTACACAATGAAAAATGAAATATATAATGCACGATAATTCATTATCTTTCAAAAAGTCTTTGGTTCGGATTTTCATTACGATTCATTACGTTTTTTATTCTGCGTGACGCACAAAGCTGCCGAGTTGCAATTTCAACGAACTATTTAATAGGCACTAATGACTATGCGTAAAAGTGAAAAGCAGTAACGATGATAATACGGCTTCATTACGGAGCTTTTACATGAGTAAGATGAATAATGCTATTCTCTGCCACATATCGGATCCGCGCAAAATGGCAGATTTGTGCAGTTAAAATCCGTGCTGTTCTAAAACTCAAGCTCCACGTATTAAACCTGTCTCCTCCGCTTTGTATGTACAAATTGCGTGATAAAGCTGTGTTATTGTTATTAAAAATATAATGACGAAAACGGGTTTAATGAAAGCGGACGGTTCCATTTAAACAGTCCAAGGATGTATGAAAATCTCCGACGAGCATTAATCTCAAAAGGTTCAAGCCCAACCAGCCTCTTTCAAGCACATCTTCGAACAACTCGGAGATAATTACGCGAATACATCTGAACTGGATATGCCGCGGTCTAAAAGGGATTTAAATTAGCATAAGCCCACGGTTGTGAAGCAAAACGACGTATAACATGTTTTCGCTTCTCAAACAGTGCGTATTTAAGCTTCAAATATTAATTTTTGACTCTTGGATGTTTTACCCGAAAACATAAATCTTCCTTTCACGAATTCACTCCATTCTAAACAATAAAAATTAATCCTCCAAATCTCTTTAACCCCTCGCTTTATAATATCGTGTCAGTTAGCGATGAAAATTTTCAACTGAATTCGACAACGACGAATCTAAAGGTTATTTATGTTTTTTAAATAGGAAATTGAATATTACTTTTGTATTATCAAATTTTTTAAGTAATTATTAATTATTAAATAATAAATAATTAAATGATTAAAATGATTAAAAAATAAATAATAAATTATTATTAATTAGTGTTATGATACGTAGTTGAGAAAGGAATCATAGAACAAGGGATTAACATTTTTCTACTGAAAAATCTCGGATGACGTTGTTGTATGACAAGTGGTACTTGTAGAGGAGATTTCTAGGTCGACTTAAAATCAGTGGCATTCATTGGTCATGAATCGAAGTAAAGGATTATTTTGTTATCGACGTTTCATTTTCAAAATAAACGTTCACTTATCATAAAGAAAGCATTTCTATGCAGTTTTGTGAATTATTAATAATAAAATAAATCAGATACTTATAGTCGTCAGAAAATTATACAGGAAAGGGTTAAAATATATTTTCTTATCGGTGCATATCAGCAAAAGGCAGTTTAATCTCTCTTTAAACGAGAATTACGAAAGAAACTGTGGCGTTATATTATTCAGTATTGTTTATCCGTTCGTGACCGTACATTACGTGAGCGTAATTTGCTACTAGGCTTGAAAGATTGATTAAACGATTCCTGGCTGCCAATCGTTTATGAAAAACCTGTCGAATAATTTTCGCTGTAGGATTATTATCTCTGGATATTTAGTAAATTTAATAATTTAGTAAAGCAAAATCACATATTTTAATTTCTCCCAAATTCAACTATGTGGTTATGTATTAACAATAAAATAAATAATAACATTTATTACGTTGGGACAACTAAAATATCTAGTTGTCACTTTTAAAGAAATTTAAGAACAACTTTCGTTTCATACAATTAAATTGTATTAAGTCATATATTGCTTCTTTTATTCAATAACTTTTTGCAGTATTTTAATATACCTAATTATTGATTTATTTATTTATAATAATTATTTATATATACAAAAACTGAACGAGAAGATTTTTTAGCCAACTTAATACAAGACACATAAAAATTAAAAGCGCAATTGCTGTGACAAATGCTAACCTTTCAGTTTCCGCTGTATCAAATAAATTACTTCGACTTTATCAAATTTTTATGGTTGCTGATTTAGCAGTCAATGCGTTAAACCAATGGCGAATCACCCATTCGCGCGTGTAAACGTGCGGAATCATCGGGAAAATGAATTGAGCCGTCCATTCGCTGAAGTTATTAACTCCGCAAAATGGAAAATAGAAATATTTAATGAAATTACATGTATGAAGTACCAATTACGTGTTTCACCATTATAATTCGAAAATATTGAAAAAATGAAGTTAACTCTTAATTACTGTAGAATGCCTGTGTTTTTTCTTGGACAGTTTTTGATTTTACTTAAATAAATAAATAATAGAAATAAATATTAACGACTTGTGAGATTTTGTATAATTATTGTATAAATTTGTACGTCTATAATGGTTAACAGCGTCGAAAAATGAATTACTTTTACTAGTGTCTTTTTATCTAGAATCGTAACGGTTAGCGTAACGAGTAGAAAGTTGATGAGATTTCCGACTTAAATTTATTTGTATCGCACAAAGACGATACGTTACATTTAACGCTAGATTTACAGATATTTACTGTGCATTTTATTGTACTATTCCCGGGAAAATAGGAATTCACTGACATAGATTTTGGAAATCAGAGCTTCAACAAGAGAAAATTAGGATACGTATTTTTATAATTGCATAAATTAAAATCGACATAAACCTTCAACAAATAATGGTTACGAAATATAATGTTTGTCAAATTGACGAATCGTATAAATTTAATGTCAATAAAATCAAATTACAATTTGAATCCAGTTTGAATTTTAGAACTCAATTTGACGGACATTAAATCTCATAAACATTATTTCCCAAAACTTTATGTCGACTTTAATGAATGCAGTTCTACTAAATGTACAATACAAACAAGTATACCAATTCTCTGTTTACGAAGCTTTGTTTTCTAAAATCTAAACCAGCATCCATTTTTTTAGAAACAATCAAACAAAGAGTACCACAGATGTCCATAAATCTAGCGTTACGTTTACAGAACGCGTCAATTGAATTTTTGGACAAATGAACATCAATTGTCCTACGAACAATAAAACAATCTGTACAATAAGCGTCCGTAAATCCAATATTAACCCTCTACCTTATAACAACATGTCAGACTCACAGCGAATATTTTAAACAGAATATAACAAGCTTAAATATTACTTGATTCCTTTGAATCCAAATAAAATATTTTCATCTGTTATCGATTATTATACTTCGGAATAAAGGTTGATATTAGATGTGTCTACAATTTTTTTCTTTTACATAGAAAATTATTAACGACAGAGCAGTTGAATTGATCATAGTTGAGAAATAAACCGTAGGGCAAGGGATTAATTGCGTTGGCTCAAGAAAGAATCAATCGTTGAGCCCGGCGACTCGCGGCGGCGGCCATTTTGTGGCGGGGTCTCGGTAACAGCGCGGCGGGCCCCGATATTTTCGGAATCACGGCGAAACGAAAAGACTGACGCGATAATAGAGACGAAAGGCGGCCGTAATCGGACGGTTTAAACGGGCTGTCTTGTCGAAACCCGAGACGAAGAGATCCCCATGGTGTGCCGCTGGTTTCTACTGCATAGCTGAGGGTTGAAATCGATACCGTTTCCAGGGTAACCGGTGGGTACGGTGGCCGACACACGGGCAAAGGTATGGGCCAAGGCTATCTGCTCGTGCATTTTCATGTTCTTCCAGCGAACGGGAGGGGAAAAAAAGGGAAGGAAAGAATGAAAGAAAAAAGGAAAAGAGCAGAAAAACAGAAGACGGTCAATGGTGGGGGAAAAGCGCGGGAGGAGGAGGGAAGGAGGACAGATAAAGCCACACGGAATGTGTAATTTCCACGGGTCTAGTGGCTTAGACTAAAAACCAAAAACAACAACAACAACAACGACGACGACGAAACAGGGGAGGAAACAACAAGGAAAAAGGAGTGCCCAAAGCTCCCGTTGTTAACAAACGAAATGTCAAGAGATGCTTGATAAGAGGGGTGCACCTCTGCGCGCCACGGTCTTCGAAACCGTAAAAATGACAAGAGGCTAACGAGCGGATGCAACGATACAGCCCGATTCCTACACGAGAACTGATGGACGGGTCTCTTGATGTATGCTGTTCACGATTTTTATTCCGTCCACTTGATTCCGTCCTCTTCCAGCTGGTCTCTCGGCCGGCCTCGCCTCGGTTACGCATCGGCGGACTTCGAGACGTATTAGACGATATCCTACGATTATGCGGATGAACTGCGCGAATCGGATTTTCCGAAACGTTACCGTTCGTTTCGTCATACTAGTCGATCGCGAATCGAACCCATTAACCGCACAATCCTCGATTGTCCTGAAATTATGGCGTTGAAACGGTTGAGTCGCGTTTTGTTTATGAAACTTTGGGAGACTTCTTTGATTTTAGGTTTGTCGGCTTAATCGGTTTGGAAACTGAACGAATGATTCATATCGTGTTTACTGCGTAATATCAGATATATTGGGACTGTTTAATTGTTTGGGATAGAGTGTCGTATTATTGGCCATATCAGGTTTACGTATAGAATCGAGAGTTGCGATCAGAAAATTTCATTATGCGAATAATGAAAGATTATGGCTTCATCGTGTTTTAGTATTTAAGAGTATGATATTTGATTTAATTTTCCATGGAAAAGATTTCTAATGCTTCTAAAAATCTCTGTCTGTACAGAGTTAAAGTAATAAAATGACATTCTATCTAAGAACTTAATAAGCGTTTTTTAGTTTCATTTTTTCAATATTTTATTTAAATTTGTTGAATTCAGTAGAATATCGTAACTGAGAGTATCGTTATCGAAACAAATGGTGGTAGTGAACTTGATGCAGAACGCCACCCAACGATGAATTTTATGAGCCACTTAAAAAATTAACGCGTCCGTGGCTGGCAAAATTTTCAATTTCCCCTAACCGATAGTTGCCCGGAGTAAAGGAATATCTAAAGCTTAATTTATAATTACGAAAATCATGAAATTCAGTTGAAATTCTTGGGCTGATGAAAAAATCGTTCTGTTTCAAAGTTAAACAAAAAGGGGGATCGCAAATGACGTGAATTCACGTCAGCAGCCGCGAATGTGTTAAGTTGGCAGTTCAGCGAATTCACTGCTGTTCATAATTACCGAGAATGTCGAATTTCAAGAGTTAGAATTTCCAAAATTACGTCACGTTTTTAATTTCACGCGAACGTCGAAATTACAAATTCCAACGTGACAATGATACGTTTCATTTGAGATGCCTAATATTTCCGAAAAAGAAATGGTAAGAACGTGAACGGATTCATTCGAGTTTGACGGTTGCACGCCTATGTACATGATGTCATGCTACCTTGTCACTGTTTGCATATTAATAGCGTTGTTAATGACATACAAATAGACACTTCTGCATCAATTAATACGTCCTATTGATCGTTCGTAAGGAAACCGAAGGAATGATCTATCTTTTGAGGTATATCGGTTGCCAACTTCCTTTTCTTTCTTTCTCTCTTTTTTTTCATTTTTTTTTTAATAGAAGCATTCAAACCATCGGTTCACTGCGACGGATGACGCGGTCAAACTTTATCATCGATTGGCATCAGCTAGGGTTTCTGCACGTATGATTCGAAGCGTTATTTCAGTCGCCTCTTGTCGAATATTACGAAAGAACACGCTCGGAAATTGAAAAAAAAAGACGGCTAGATCTGTTCCCACGTCTGACCGAATTTACCATACCCACGGTATCATTTCGAAACCGCGAATTCGCTGGCGATAATAATTACGCGTTTTCCAATCGAATATTGATTGATTAATAAATGCGACGTTTTTCGGACAATATAAAAGTTATTGAACAGTGAACCTGTTGAATTGATACGCTCGAATCAATTTTTTCACGGAGTTTAATGGGACTGCATTTTAATGACTTGGTAGTTTAATCGAGTGAAACAAGTTAGGCCAACTGAGTAATAATTCTATTATTTTTTAACGTAATATCAATGGTGAAATAGAAATCCATCACTGTTGCGGGTAGTGAGTGATTAATTATTAAAACAAATTATTTTTCATTGTAACAGATCGTTTAACAAAATATTGAATAATTAAAATTTATTGGTAACAAATATTGTTGTGACCTGATTAATTCTTTACGCTGTAAATATCTCTACCACAATATAATCACATGTATTTTTTTAATAACCGAAAATATCGAATAATTATTTTTCCATTAAAATCTGTATTTCCACAATATTCTATCGAAACCAACATTCTATATAATGAAACCAATTTTATTTCATTCAGAAGAAACATTTAAATATTCCAACCAATTTTCGAGCCAAAATAATTTCATTTATAATACCAACAACACAACACAACTTATAAAAATGAATATTCACTATAAAACAACAATTTTACACGTTACCCAGTTTCAAAACATTCTTATACACGAGCAAATAATTATTATAAACAATACAAACCACACCGCACTACCTTAACAGATCAAATAATACTTCCCCGACTCGCTCGTCACTAGAAGTTTACTCGAACGCGACATTTCCATTCAACAGTCTCGCGAAACACGAGAAAATTCCCCGAGAACGTTCCGAGTGATTTCAAAATCCCGATATTCCCGCCACGTTATCGACTGACCACTGCGCGCATGTGAACGCACCCTCCGGCGCGGTCACGGAGTGACAGCTTTTGATTGGTCGAATCGTTTCAGCGGCACCGGCGCCGCGCTTCACCTCCATCTTGATTTCTCGGCGAGGCGACCCACCCAGCAGCAGTGTCACAGTAGTACGCTGTGCTCTCGTATACACGGCGGGTGAGTGGGTGTTCTTTCGTACGGTCGATCCGTTCCGCAACCGTTTCTGCGGTTTCGTTACACGAGTGCGGTCGT